ATTCTCCCTGTATTATCCCCTATACAAACACAGCAGATGTCATAAGTTGCTTAGGATTCTCTTCTTAACAGCTTTGATCAAGTCACAGGCTGATGATAATTTACCAGTTGTTATGTCTTTAATACTTTTTAGAAGAATGTCCGCTTATTTCAGAATGCCCATGGCCAGCAAACTAAGGTAGGATGTGATATAGAGACTAGAAAAAGTGGTTATGGACGGCTGAGATAAAAACAAAGCTTACTTCCATTCTTTTTTTAACAGTCATGATAGCTCAACATCTCCTTAATTCTACAATATAAGTAGCATCTACAATACTATGATGACAAAAATATAATATGAAATTTTACAATATGGACACACAGAGGAGGAGATGTTCAGCTCTTTTGAATTAAATTTTTCACATCTATCTGTGCTGTTGTGATTTCATTATGAGTAAATACCATTATCTAATTGTTAAACGCAGACACAAAATGTTGTGGAATACCTTTTCTGCTTTACTCACTATTTGTGAAACTAATACCTTACCTATTGTGGTTGTTCTCTTCTCTTGTTTGATCACACCTTAATCAGGTGACTCTTGTGTTCATGATTCACTTGAATTTAAGAATTTGGAATTTTTTTTTTTAAATCACCAAACATGTCAGTTATGTTATCTAACTTTAGCTATTGACAGCTAAGTTTCAAAACTAAGCCAACAGTTTAGGCTCTGATCAACCAGTAAAGAGAAGCTCTGGAGTACCATTCAGCACTGTCCCTGCTCTGTGCCAAAAAGAACAGCAGTGGTTGCAAAGCACATCCACATTAGTATATGACACTTATACATATGTATCAGATCTTTTTAATACAGTCATGGATGTGTGTTGAAGTAACTTGTAGATCTGGACTTGTTCCTACACACAGGCTTCAAACTCATCACCACTTCATTCTATTCTCTTTCAATTCTTAAGTCACCATACTCACTGCTGCTATATTTTATGAGTACTCACTATCTTTTAATAACCAAATGAAAGGAAAAGTTATTGCCCTGTCTCCTAAAACTCTTCATCTGATCAGAACAGATTTATATGGGATATTTTAAAGGTAGAATCACGTGAATGGTTGATGGGTATTTCTGGAAAGCATCAGATGAAGAGGATTTCATTATAATCCTCAACATTTTAATCCTACATAATTATCCTGTAAAAATTAGAAGGTATTTAACACAGTTGCAAGACTAGGGGACATAAGAAAAAAAAAGGTGGGTTTTTTTTTTATGTAGTGGTCATGTAGTGGTTTTCAAGATATATTATGATGTGAACCTGTGGGTTTGAAGGACAGTAATGCATGGCAAAGAGAAATAGTGTGGAGAGGAATTGAAATTACAGTAGAAGATAAAATATTTCAAAATATCACATCAATTGTCACCAACAGAATACAGGAAAAGTAATCTATGTATTCTTATTTATGATATTATTGAAAAACTAGGAGCTCAGATCCATGGCAAAGGTATTTTAAAATTCAGACATTACTCTATTTCCACCTCATGCCTTTCCCAAAATAAACATATGCTATAGATATGTAATAAAATATTTTCTCATATGAAATTGAAAGGAAAAAGAGTTGCTTCCTATAATTTTTTGAAAACATTTTTATTTCTATATTTTATTTAAACCTGTGAAGAATTCCCAACAAATTCAACAGCACTGTCTCAAATAATAAACCACTGAACATTGACTTCTATAATATCTTCCAAGTGTAAATGTAAAATTATAGCTCATATTTTCTTCAAATTCAAACTGTACAAACCCATAGTAATGTCTGTTGGAGTCACCAGGGGCCCTTTAGAATTTTTATTTCATTTTAGACTAATAAGAAGTTTAATGATGGTATTTCTGAAATCAAGTAGGGTTTTTGTCTTGGTGGTGCTAAGATTTACCCATAGCATTCAGCAGATTTTTTTCCCAAAACCGAGGAGAAATCTTATCTTTCAACTCAATTGAAACTCAAATCAAGTTGCTCATAGGAGCTGAATGTGAACAGGGTTATAGTAAACAAGGAAACTGTATTCCCATAAAAGTCTACTGAGACCAAAATAAAAATGGATTATAATGCTTATAAAATTCAACAGTTATGAATATTACATTAAACTCATATTAATGATAAAGGTGCTTCTGCAATCGCTCCATTTTTTAAAAAGCTGTGGATCATTTGAAAAGATGAAAAATGTGCATATATCAGCTCTTATAGTGGATTTTATTAGTTTCCTAGAACAGTCATACAATCTTATTCTTTCACCTACTCACTCTGATATATTTTATTTCCTTCTCACAGAAAGCACAGAGAAGAAATAAGTATAGATATAGAAATGTGTTTATTTCACATGTAAAATTCATGCTTTGCTTGTAAGCTATGCAAAGAAAATAGATTTCATTAAACAGAACTGCAAGTTGTCCACTAATACCAATTTGTAATATGGGAGTACTTTCCTTTGAAATCATTAAATCTGCACAGCTAAGGTAACTTTATCTCCTTGAAAAATTCCACTTATTATCTCATACTGATGAAGACATCAGTGAGTTGTTTAAAATATGTTTTCTAATGACCCAAACAACAAGTTTCCTCTGTGATTTCCATGTTATACAAATTTACTTGTAGCAGGAAACACATAAGCAAATTTCAAAAACTTAGTTAAAAGAAATTTAAAGGAAATTTTCTAAAAACATGAATTTAAAATAATCTCATAGCAGCTAAATGAGACAATTTTCATGGTTTACAATCTCTTCACTCTTTCTCAGAAATATACACTACCAAAAAAATTTTTTTTACTAGTCCTATTCAACAGAACCAGTTTTCTTCCATGACAGTAGAGTAAAAGCATTTTTGTCACGAATTTTACTTGAAGCAGGACTGAAGGCCAAATAACTAACAACAGGCAACAAGCAATAAGCACCCTTATGGTGCCAAATAAAGTGTATCTGCACATCTATTTTGCACTGTATCAGCATGAAGTGTTTCTACTGTGGCCCTATGTTGAAATCTTTGTCTGGTCAGAGTGACTGTTTTGCAACCAGCAACCATGACACAATTATATTCCATACAGAAAGAGGAGTTAACTCTTAAAGCTGAATGCAAAACAAAAGACTTACAAAATCTCCAGGAAGTCACTCAAGAAAGAGTATAAATTTGAATATCAAGGTGAAGTATGCAATTAGAAATAAACTATGAGAGCTATTGAATGGGAAAAAAGAAACTAAGGTTGTTGTTTGTACTACATCTAATATATACAAATAGCTATTAAGTATAGCAAATCAAAATATGTAGCTAAGGACATGAAAGGAATATCGTAACTGGTGGGCTAAGACAAAGTTTTATTAGTGCATCAGAAACAAAAATATCTTATTTATCCTTTGTATTTAGAATTGAACCTCTTGAAGTACTTCAGTCAGATAAGAATGGGAAGTTCTTTTAATCTTCTAACTGAAAGCATGTAAAAAAACTTCTAATAGGAAGGAAACTTTATAAATTAGAACTATACAAACTGCAGAAAAGAGTCCTCAAACCAAACCTACAGGACACCAAAATTTGAAATCAGTCATCAAGAAAATAATTTAGAGTTAAAAATTAGAAAACTACCAAACTCTTACGGTGATAGAGAAAAAAGAAAGAGAATATATGATCTACACCCCTCATATGATCCACAAACATCTATAAAAAGAAAAATATATACATAATTGGGGAGCTGAAGAAAAAGAAATCAGTCGGTTTTGTTCAGTAAGGAAAAAGAAAAAGATTTTTTGATTTTCATACGTGTATTTCTTCGGTGGGGGACAGTGTAAAGGATCATTTTGCAAGAATAGAGAGCTATTGTAGGACCATGTCTCGGAGATGAATACACACACACTCACAATAAACTACATTTTGTCAGGTTAAGTAATCAGCGCAGTGAACTTACAAGGGAAGTAATGGTTGTCTCTGTCTGGTATATTCAATACATTCTATATGGGACTGTATGTTGGCTTTGTGAAGGAAATTATGCTAATAGGCTCAATGAAATCCAGTGCTATGTGACATTCGGGACAGAAAACTAGAGAAATATTCTGACATCCAAATACCAGTCTGGGAATTTTCAGAATCTCTATAAATACTAGGATTTGGAGCATCTTGTCTGCAAGTTTGAGTAGGACTCCAGTAACTCACAAGTGGAAGTTAGCAAATCATGGCAGTCATTCATAGCAGGTTTGAATTTGAATCTATATTATGAAGTCCTTTTCCCACTCCATCCATACCAAAAAGCACAGTTGGGCTAAAAAGAAAGTTTTATGAGTGCAAACACTATTTAATCAATTTCTTCCCTGAGCATGAATGTAAATGACCCAGTTTCCGCATAGACCTGTGCGGAACAGCAAGCTACAGTGAAAAGCCCTTTTGCTCCCACAAGCAAGCATGTAATGCTATGAACCAGAAACAGCAGGGCCATTAATACATTCTTCTTACACAACCAGTTTTGCAACTTGAAGAATATTGTAATAAAACAGGTCTCCAAACCTTTGGTCACTTTGATTCACCCAAGAAAGTGTGGTATTGAAATCTCCCACCTAGATGGACATTATCACTGAACCATCTTCTGAATTGAAGTTTCATTGCAGGAAAATTGGGATGTGTTGGAATTTCCTAAATTCAGTCAGGTTTTGAAGTTGTTATTTTCTTTGGCCTACTGAGGGGAAGTGTTCAGAAGTAAAGCATAAAGTGCTAAAGAAATTCTAGAGAGAGTATTTTAAGTGATTTACTTGATCTCAATAAAAATTTAGTCTCCCTTGTGGATGAAATAGACACGTCTCATGTAGCAAACCATTTATTAAGGATTCCCTATAGGAAACTCAGGTATATTAACCATTATATGAATCTTAATTGTGGTTATATTTTATTGCTACTTAGATTATTAAGTGTTTAAACTACCAGATAACAGAATCTATATTCTAAATATGGAAGAGTACTAATAGTAATTTTGCTTAATATTTCAGCCCTGTTCCAACAATCTCTTGGAGGAAAGTTAATGGTCATAATCCAAGTAAAGCCCGCCTGAGAAAATCCCAAGCTGTGCTTGAAATACCTAATGTGCAGCTAGAGGACGCGGGAATGTACGAATGTAAAGCTGAAAATTCTCGTGGAAGAAATGTCTTCAGAGGACAACTACAAGTGTATAGTAAGTATAACTGCACATAATATTATGCAGCATTGCTTTGTCCACACTATATATGAAGCATTCCAAGGTCCAGTAGAAACAAGATACCTTGATATCAGGTATCAATATACCAAAAATAGTATTGAATTAAGCTATGTATTTTTATTCCTTAGTATTGCATTAAAGTTTTAAATATATAAATAACATTGATTCCCTTAAAGAACCGACTTAAATAAAAATTCATATTTGATGACTATGGATTTTTTTTAGAGTATGACTATAATTTTAAAAGTCTATTTCTTTTACTCCTGATATAATAATGATATGCAACCTAAACATGATGCATCTGTGAGAAAACAATGTTAGAAATGTCTTAGGATTTTTATCATACTTTTATTAACATTTCACCTCTATTATATTTGGGTGTTGAGTTTTGTCAAGTTCATTACATAGGTATCAGAGCTGGAGAAGTGTTTCTTTTTTGTAGAAAATTCTCAATCTAGGTATGCACAATTTCCAAAAGTTTTGATTTCAGAAAGTACTAATAATTTTTTCTCTCCGATTGATCTTTCTAAAAATTTTTTGAGTGAGTATAAAAAAAAATTATCATGCATCACATTGAAAAGGAAAAAAAAAACAGAAATTAAAAATATTTAATAAATCCCATGAATTTTATATAATATTGTTGTTGCACCCTAGAATCTAGAAACAAAGGCCTGCATAAGACATACCATGAATACTTAAAAGTCAAAGTTTTGCATATATCAAATGTAAGCTTGAGTCTCACCTACTTCTTTTCAACTAAAGCTGTACTAATTTCCATCATTCCATGAATGCTACAACCTTAAACACTTAACAGGAATAATCTTCTTCAGGAGATTGTACAACAAATCTTTCAGATTAAATTGTTTTCTGTCTTCAGATGTCACAGTCAGTGGAATTCCAATCACTGAAGTTTAGATAGGTCCTCAAGCTAACAGATATCTCTAAGAAGGAGTTTCTCCTGTTAATCAATTTTATTTCTCTTTTCTTGATTTCAGCCCATGGCTCCTAATGCTTTCTCCCCATCACTAACTATACAGCTTTCTTTGTCTTTGTTATACACTTTCATCAGATTACTGTAGACTGGCATAGTATATTTAGTTTATTTTCCACACATGTCAATATTTCCAGGTCCATAATCTATTTTTCTGTCTCTTCCAGCTTTCCAATGTCTTTATCTTAGCTCTCTTGATTTTAGTGAGTATCAGTATATCTCTGGATGATGTTTCTTTTCTCGCCTTTCATTCTCACCCCTCTAGAGCCCAGGGCAGGTTTTTGTCTTCAATTTCTTGTTGTATATGCTGGAAAAATCATGTGGTGTTTAAGATGATAATTCGCACATTTCATTTAAGACTTGTCATCTAAACTGCACTTGCAGCAAAGTTTTTATAAGACTTTTACTGAAAAGAGCAGTCAAAGCCCAGGGCCTACTCTGAGCCTCCTACTGTGCCAATACATCAGTGATATTTCTTTGGTATTACAAATTCTTACTATAATTCACTTCCATGAAAGTATAGCACCTCCTGCAACAAACCTGAGGGCCAGGGAAATTTAGCAGATGGTCTTTTTCTACAACATTTCTTAAAATGTCTGAAATAAAAAAAAAAAAAAGTCATCTGAGTGATAAGGTGTATCCCAGCTCATACGCTTCCATCTGTTTTCTAGAACTGTGGAAGTACTAGATGCCAAAGCAGCTCATAAAGGTCTTAGAATTATCTCTGCTTCTCTTCTTCAGAGTTAAAGGAATATAAAAGGTCCTCTTCAAGAGAGAAATAAAGATACTGTAAAATGAAATTATTTCTACAAGATCACTCTGCAGATCTGTAACAATGATGTATTGCTCTACACAACTCTTCCTCTCTCATTAGGTTTTTACTTTGAACAGAAATAAAGGTGGTACTCAAACACATGGAATACATTTTCAATGTCAGTTTTGTTCTACTTTTCCAGAGAGAAATACGAAATTTCACTGTTTTCTAAATTATATTTTTAGTGTCACTGCCTTTATGAATAGGCCAATTTTTACTCATTGGTATTTTCTGCAATAATATTAGAACAACTTCTTTAACATTAGAAGAAGGGAGTCCAGATTGCCTTGTTCCTCTGATTAAGAGATATGAGACTAGTATGTTATCAAGTTTCACCTATCTACATTAGAAGGGAACGAGGTCAGAGCAGGTTACAGAGGGCTTCCAGATGGAGAACACTGGCAGTGACCTCCAGTAGACCAGGACAAGAAGTACAAACTTTTACTAGACCCTGAGAGTGCCTTTCCTTGGCCTTGACATAAAATACTCCCCATAGAGCCATTCACAGTCTCCAATGCTCCTGTAGACAGCATTAGCTTCTCACTGGCCTACAAAGCTTGACAACTGCTTCCGGGATATAAAAGGATTTGTGTGAGAAGGTTTTTAGCAGCATATAGTTTAGCCAAGTGTTAATTTACAAAATTCTCACCTTCCTTTCCCAACAGGTGATTTGGCAGAATTTGGGGGATTATTTGAAACAGCATTTCCTGCTATACCTTTTGTTCATAACAACAGTCAACGTGAATTATTTACCTTTCAGCTCACTGTCTTTTCACTAACATCTTATTCCTCCAGGTGACAATTATTTTGGCTCAGAAATTCAGATGTAGGCAGTCATTCCTTACCAGAGGTTTCTTGTAAAATTTCAGAGCAGTCTATAGGATCAGCTGTGTCATACTGCAGTCTCACAATTTACATATCTCTGTAGGAACTCACTCACTGTCTGTTTGAATCTTCTTCATTTTGTCAGTTGCATCTGATCTGGGTCACCACAGAGTATTTTGGAGAAAGCCCAGGACACCCAGTCTGCCTGTCTAGTCACATTTAATCACAAACTAGTGATTTTTCATTTCTTACCTGATGCTGCAATCCAGATATACCATGACTGCCTGATACAGCTGACACTTCGGATGTTGTTCAGAAAGCAGTGTTTTGGATTCTGACAATTTCATATTATTGTAGTCTCAGCACTTAGGGGAAATTCGTCTGTAGGCATTAAAAACATAATTTTTAAAATGCTAGAAATTCTCATATGCATTGAAATCTATTTTGAGAGGTGTGATTTTCCCCCAAGTGATCTGCTCATTCTGTAAGTTTCCATGAAATATTATTCAAGTTCAAATTGATTAACAGAGGAGAGTACAAAAATTAAAATGTGGGTGGATAATTTTACCATTAACCTTTTTGTCCCTCCACAAATCCTGACTTACAGCATTTCCCCAATAGTAAACACTAGTCTGTGCACTTCCTGCTCCGCTCTCACTCTGAGCTTCTTGGGTTTTCTGTGTTGCCTATTCACTAGTGCCAGGTTCAGCAGGGGGTGGTGATGTGAAGCAGATTACAAAACCACTTTTTTGGCTGTTTTTCTTTTGGCTGGATCACAGCAGCGCCCCATGACCAGCATATGAGACTTGTCATAGCATAGGAGTGGAATAAGCAGCTGAGAACAGGAAGATTCTGTAATGCAGTGTAACAGACCATACTGATTTTAGAAAACATTTTATTACTTCCTTATAAAAACTGTATGGGAAAAAAAAAGTCCACTACAGGTTAGACCCACACAGTAAAACTAGCTAGAGAAGAGGGGTTTTGGTTCGAAATTGTACATTCAGTTTAAATGTGCTATGTTGTCTTTCTCACTTATCTTTCTCACTATTCTTCTCCTACTTTACTCTTTCCAATTATTCTCATATACAGGAAAATAATTTTTTCACTCCAAACTCCATACTCATTCATATTTTAGGACATTATTTAAAGTAATTTCTCTATGCATAATTTTGTCCTTAATTTTTTCTCAGTCAAAAAGTTGCTTAAAAATTTGAGAAAGTAGTTTGAATTTTCTGTACTTTAATTTCATTTTGCACAGAGGATACAAAAATTGGCCTGTAAGCTTCCAGATTTATTGCCAATTTATGTTTGTAAAATATTTTGACATCCTTGAATAAACAGGTGCAGAAATGCAGCATAAAATAAATCAAGGATTGGACAGTGATTTTAAAATCTCAGAAGCACTGTATAAAGCTCTGATACAATACCCATAAAGACTACTGAGCTATAAAACACGTCCTTCTCTTCTTACAATTACCACAAAACTCTTCACTGGACAGATAAAAACCAGGCAGACACCTGTTTTTCCCCCAGATTAATGTTGCATTTTTAAGAAGGAAAAAAGGACTTGTTACTTTTGAAATCTGTTCAAATGCTTCTTAGATTTTATATTTTGTAATTAAAATGAAGTCTGATCACAGAATGAAGCTTTCTTTGCATGCATGTGTATCACGGTGATGTTACCACATTTTTGCTAAAAAACCCCAAACCTAGTACCTGGAATCAAAGGTTGCACATCTAGTTAAATGTTTCAATTTTTAAAGTATTAATAGGATTTTAGAGCAAGCGTAACAATTTGATAGAGTCACTCTTGCTAATGAGCAGAGAAGGAATTCTGTGCGAAAAAGGAGTACACAGAGAGAGAAACAGAAGCCAAAACGTGATGAAAGTATTTCCCTTAATCATGCATTTAACTCTATTCCAGCTACGTCTATCTATTGTTTTGCTACCTTCTTCTCATAAGGGTGGGAATCTGAGCCATTACCTTCACTGATGGCAAGTTCAACAGCTTGCAAAATATTACTCCAAAGGTCATTTAGGCTATGAGGAGAAAATTTAGGGTAGAAAAACCCCAATTAAAGAGAAAAGGATTGTTCTTACCAAGCAGTCATATCACTGTGGTTCGCAAGTTTGTCTTTTCGAAAGAAAACCTGTGCCATGACTGTGTTACCAAGACAGTCACAGAGAAAGGGTAGGGAATGGCAGTTCTGAAGAGGATACCCCTGCAGCCAGGCTTGGGGAGACAATTTTGTTTTGGTGTAAAAATGTTCATCTTCTAGTTCTGGATACTCTGGTTCATGATGAGCTCAAATTCAACTAAGAAAAATGGGACTAGATATACTTTGGATCAAAGAGTAGAATTCACAGAACAGTATAATAATAAAAATAATTAAATATAAATAAAATCAGTTTAGTGCCTCTTTGAAACTGCATGATTTTATGGTACCACTGGATGTCTTTTATGACTTTTTAGTTACACATTAACTACCTCATCTTCCAGAATCATATTAATGTACTCGTTTTCAAAGGAAACAATTGCTTCTCAGCATGATTCCTTCATGTATTCTTTAGCACTCAAAAAAAGAACAACAACATCGACTATACAATGCAATCGAATATTTTTAGGACAATTAGTAGACACCAAATAAGCAGGGACTCATGAAAGCTGTTTCTTTGTGAGGATTGTTGTGGGACCCTTTGTTATGACTTAACAAAAAAGTGATTCAGCACAGTGAAGCAAATGTGGAGAATTTCATGCATTGCCTTGACTGTAATAAGAAGAATAAGGATGCAGAGGTTTTTTGGGAGTGAGGTTGAGTCAATCTCTCTCTTTTTCCTCTATCAAAAAGGAAATGAGTGATTCTTCTTCTGATATGTTTCCAGCTTCTGACAACTGTCTGGTCAGGGACTCTTGACACAGATTATTCCCTGCTTAGGAATGATAGACACCTCACTCACTTTCTTTATCATCCATGCACGAGATGTAAGCTACAAGCAGTTAGTCACCTGTCATGCCTTTTCCTATCTTCTCACGTCTTTGATTGGTGGCCTGTCAAATGCCAGTTAGATTCAAAGATTTATTTTTAAACTCGATTCCCATGTTTAAGTGCATCATCAATTATCTGTCGTTTGAAGTGGAGACTTTGTTGTGACAGATGTGGACTTCTATTCATACCAAGCAGAAGAATTTTACATCCCTCTTGTAATGAAGACCTTTTAGCTACTTATTCTTTGCAATTTGGAAAAAAACCTCAAACAATGACAATTAAAAAAAACCTGAACAGAACCAATAGAACATTTATTATCATTATGTTAATTAATTTCATCTATCATCATCTGTACCACACAAAATGATATGGCTACAATGTCAAAACCCAAAAGCTGGCTTTTAAGTACACATTTTTACCAAATTCTCAGTTATTTCTAGCTCAATAAATAATGATTTCCTTGTAAAATGAGAAAGCTACATGAAAGAGTCTATGACAATTAACCCTTTTACCACAATATGAATAGCTTAGTTCTTGCAAACTACTAAATGTTCTATTGTGACTACCAAATATTTGTCTTAAATTCAGGAATAATGAATATGTTAATATACAGTACTGCAATTTAATCCATTGGACATTATTAAATTGGGCAGATTTCTATTCATGGTCATGCTACTGCTCATTACTGGTGACATTACTGCATTTCCTTTAGAGTTATGAAGTTTGGCTAACTTTACTACTGTCTCTTTTGGTTTGAGCTGTTTGTTTAAACACGGGGTTTTTTTGAGAGTAAGATAAGCTTAGTAAAGGCCAGTAATTTAAGCTTTTTAACAGATTAGGTCTTTGCACATCAGCTAGAGACTTACCAGTTTGTATGCTTTGACTCTAACGTGGCATTTTTTTCTTTTAGCCTACCCACACTGGGTGGAGAAACTTAATGATACACAGTTAGACAGTGGAGATCAGCTCCGATGGGAATGTAAAGCCACTGGAAAGCCAAGGCCCACATATCATTGGCTGAAAAATGGAGTTCCTCTCTGGCCTCAGGTACACTTGGACACTGGCGACAAGGAGTCACTAGTGTGTCATATGCTTCTCCTTTCATTCTGATAAAGTCAGTTAAAGAAAGTACTGCAAAGTACTGTTTTCTGTGTTAGTTTCTTAGGTGTTAGTGTACAGTACAGACAGGTTTTCTATGCATGTCCCCCGTGAACCATCTCAAGCAATGTAAAACTTAATTCATCAGTAGTAATTGTCTGTAGTTCAGAAATATTTGGAAGACAGGATCTACTGAGCTATGTCTGTACTATAGTGTACATCTAAACAATCTCCAATAAGATTTTTTTTTTGTTTAGATAGTTGTATCATGTTATTTGTATCTATTTTTCTTTCTGTATAAAAAGATGGTAAAAACTCAGCTGTATTTGCTGAAACAGATTTCTTCATATTTCTCTCAATGTTATGTTGTGCTATGTTATGTCATTTACTACATTTAAAAAAAAATAATCCTGCTCTTCAAATCACTAGCAGGCTAATATAAAAAGTACAATGACTATTACATTTTCAACTCCGTTTATTCTCTGCAAGTTACAGAACTTGCTGTCAAGACCATTAAAATGGTCCATGTAAGACTCCTAGAATGTAAAATATTTAACTACAGTCAACTGATATATTTTAGAATTAGACATAAATAAAATTATCTTTTCCTTTTAATCGACCACTCATGTCATGGTCTGTCTTTTATTTCACTTTACTCTTTTTCTCTCACTGAATCATCAAACTGTCAGCCCACATCATGTGGGTTTTTGTCTAGCACCTTTCCATTTTTATAGTCTCAAATTATTTAAAGTAAAGAGTTGTGTAAATTTATTTAATCTATTTCTGCAGATTAAAATAAAGCTGTTCAATTCTGTGAAAAAAATGTCTCCACTTGCAAATCAATTCACAGAATGGATTTATGAATATAGAAGATGTAATGTCTTTCTTTTCAGCCAATGTCACTTCTGTCTGTGAACATCCACCAATTATGCAAACAATGAGAAGGGAAACATAAACACAGTTTTCTTTTGAAGCTGTGAGGCATTGAAAATAAGATTACATGGCTTTACCCATTTCTGTCTTTTTAGATGGAGCTATTAGTCCTGAAATTGAAGCAATTTAAATATCTCTATTTTTTAGCTCTCTGATTTTCCAAACCATTAGTTTCACCAGGCTCTGAAATTTCAAATTAAATTTCTCTTTGAACTGGGTGGGGGCTTACAACAACAGAGAGAATTTTTATCACAGTTTCCTCTGCATTTCCAAACAACTTATTCTTTATTGATTTTAACCTACAACAAGCGTTATAACAAAACCTAGAGTTGTTTTATAGCAGTTCAAATTATTCATAATAGAGTTTCATGAAGGACACATTTCTAAAAGGAGCTATTAATGCTTCTGCTCTTCCAGCTGTGGTAATTATTTTCTACTAGTGGACCTCTGAAATAAGAAATTTGCATTAATGATGAATGTGATTAGACCCTTTCATTCTTACTCATGAAAACAATCTTTCATATTTACTTATATGAAAATAATGTCATGGCTGAAATCAAACATTTGCTAGAGATGTAAAGATCATCAGATATGTTACACCCACAACTGACTTCTTCTTTTATTAAAGTTCCCAGGATGCTTTTAAAAAGTATGTAAGGCTAATAACAAACAAACAAGCAAACAGACAAAAGAAAACTTTGGAGATATTGAACTAATGCTGAAAAATATTTACCTTTAAATATTTTTGGACTTTTTATTCTTATATTTCCTTATAGTACAAGAAAAAAAGTAAACCCAAGGAAATTTGTTACTTAGTTTTATCTTAGGTCTTTTTTTGGCCCTTTGTCTTAAATTAAGAGCACAGCAATTTTCCTTCCAGTGCCTTTTTGCTTTTATAGAATGATTTTTTAAACTTTTTTTTTAAATTCTATTACAGAGCAGGATTGAGATGGTTAATGGTGTTCTGATGATCCACAGTGTGAATCTCTCAGATGCTGGAATGTATCAGTGCTTAGCAGAAAATAAGTATGGCACCATTTATGCCAGTGCTGAGCTGAAAATTTTAGGTGAGTATGGAAAAACAACAGACTGTTTCTTTTTCCTGCTTTGATAACTACATTTTTTCTTAGACTGTTATGATAAAGAGCAGCTTCTGCCAGTCCAAATAGCAGATCAGATAAAAGTGACTCCTTTTTATTCTTGTTATTTATATGTGGGTCCTTTGTTGCCCCAGAGAGCATAGGGAATTCTGTTAGCTGAAAATTATCTTCAGTAAATAACTGACTCAGTACATTTTGTACTATTTCTCATATAACACTATTTCAGTTCAAATAAATGGAAAAATATCCTTTACTCTCTCAAACATATGTTCAGGAGATGAAACTTAGAGAAAGTAAATATATTTAATCACTATTAAAATTAAATTATTGTGCCTACGTTGGCCATTATTCAAAGGTAATTATGCATGATCTTAGTGTTAAAGCTATAAAAATTTCCCGTGTAGTTACCAAAACTGACTGAACACTACAAATTACATACTTGGGTGAATATAATAAAGAAATACACTACATAGTGTTACCTGGAAATACAGTAAAAATGTCATTATTCAAAAGCCGAAGTAGGCAATTAATGAAGAAAAACTTGAAGCATGTCTTTTCAACACTCTAGTTTTTCTTAAAGCAAACTCTGGTAACATGCAGTGGGACAATAATTCCATGGGATTAAGTGAGACAGAATTGTAATAGTCTTATCATCTTTGTTAGAGTATGATGTAGTTGGAAGACAGGTGTCTGTCAAAATAATTCAATGGTCATATCAGAGATTAGAGGTCTCTGCACTGCTCAAATCTGGCAAATTTCAAAACCTACACCTCAGAACCATTCCTGTAAACTCCCAGTCAAATGAATAAGAAAGCTGAAGTTACTGAAATAATGTACTAGGCTTCAGCTAAGATTTGGCTCTTTTGGAAAATAACCTATCTAATACATCTCCACTATTTTCTTGCTGGTCAACATTAGAATTTCACTGATAAGTCTTAAAAATATTTCTTTATAACCATAAAGTGAAAAATCAAGGTCAGTGACTACTCCCTTTCCATCACTTGGTCATTTGTGATTCAGTTAGCAAAGAGATCCCTATGGGTTACAACGTTCTTTTGTTCTGTTTTTTATATCTGCTATAAGCTGGATATACCTACTATGTCCGGTAATTACACACTGTCTTTGATGTTCTTTAATATCAGAAATAACCACTGTATATTACTACAGTAAGATTTAGCCTTTCATTTTGTCCCTTGTGAAATTGTACCCCTTTTAAATTTTAATAATAATATTGTATTAAAGAAGCAGTTATGTTTAATTTTCTACCTTACTAAAGGGACAAAAATAGAATAAATTGTCCATATAAATATCTCTGGTATGAGAATTAACCAAAATAATGGTAGGAAATTCCTATATATTTGAGGCAATGGAGTGTAATATGTTCCTGTAAGCGTAGCTGAGATAGAGGGCTTTTGTTTTGCAAAACTAATTTAAGAAAAAGAAAAAACAGTGAGATTACTTGAGAACAACTGTCCTTTCTTGGTATGAAATTACAGTAATTAGTGTCATTTTGTGATGCATTTATTAGTTTTGCTATTGTTTGTAAACAATGGGAATATTTGAAAAGTGAAATACTAAGATCAAGACCTGGTTAAATATCTTCTATTAAGAAGTTCTCACTTTTCAATTCCCATTATTCAGACAAATGTAAAAAGAGAGAGCAATAAAATTTCTCTAACAATAAAACTTTTTGTAAGAATTAACTCTGGAGAGTACATTTTGGATAGTTGTGGAATTTAAACTTCTTTTAATTTTGAACTATTTACTTCTAGCAGGTTTTTCATAAAATAGAAAAAAAATTGGAAAAAGTGTAGGTAAAACAACTGTATTATTTAACTTATAAAACTGTTGGACTTCACAAGAAATCCAATCGCAAGCATCTAATATGCTGATGTGAAAGACTTCTCATTAATCCATAATTGGATTAAGTTATAGACCTACAATATAGTCCTGGCTGCTGATTTCAAATATTTTGTAAAATTTCATCTTTGGAATAATAATTTCCTAGAAACAGAGATTCTATCTCCAACACAAGTCTATAATTCTCCCCTTCTATTAGAGCATAATGGAACAGGAAGCTGTGATTGTTTTCTGTAGAGCTAACTTGCTTCTTTTTAACAGCTTCAGCTCCCACTTTCCCACAAAATCAAATGAGGAAAACAATAATTGTTACCAAAGGTCAAGAAGTTCTCATTGAGTGCAAACCACAAGCCTCTCCAAAGCCAACTATCACCTGGAAGAAAGGAGACAAAGCCTTAAGGGAGAGTAAGAGGTGAGAAGACTGTTCATTAAACTAAATATCGTGTTTGCATGTTGGATTCTGTGATGTGATATGAATGTGCAGCAAGAGATAAGAACATGCATATGTTAGCATGGGTGTGACATAATTATTTTTTCAAGCTGATTTGTTTGACAGTAGTGACTTATTGTTTCTGCAATATGGAAATGAAAAATCTTGACATTGTTCAGAGATGCAGACATGAAAAGGTGCTACTATTTTGGGAGGTTTTGTCTCTATTCTCTGTTATTAATTTCAAAAGTCTTTCATTTATACTGTAGAGATACTAGAAATTTAGTGTATGAGAATACCAAAAGCATGGAGCCTGAAGTAATCAGAACCACATAAAACATCGAATGTGCTTATTCATTTGAAATAATTTTAGTAAGGCAGATTTGCAGGTTGGTCACAATGGAAGTCTGTGTAAGAATAGTTTTAAAATGATTCAGAGAAGGAAAATGAAATTCCATTATAGGATTTAATTATACAAGTAATTTTTGTACTCAGCAGCACATCTGTTTAACAGAATATCTTTGATTAAATAAGTTCCATCCAGCTCTGTACAGTAAAAGCAGTTTAAGCACTGCAGGTTAAATGCCAGATGTAATTGTACTTTACAAGATTGCTTATCTGTACACTAGAATAGTTTCACCACTCTGCACATGGTCTTTAAGTACAAAGAGCAATCTTGTCCTCTTTCTGGTAATGTCTGTGAATGAACCACTTAAACTGACTTGTGTGGCATTAGTCAAGAAGATAAAAACAAGGCCCTTTTTGTTCATTTGTGCAATACTAATGAGAGCAGTAGAGCGCATCCATCCTCATTAGCTGCAAAAGCCATCCTATTCAGGTGTGCTGTATTTTCATCTCATGTCATATATTTTGTTCTGAGAAGGAAAAATGGGTAAGTTCTCATACCATATTGACTTTCTGAAGAGGGGAGAGCAAAACAGCATTATATACAACATTTTACTAACAGATGTGAGTTGTATAGTTGTGCTGGTTTAAAGGTAAACCAGCAAGGGAAATGAACTCAACTCAAAGGAGAGATTATAAATCAGAATAACAATTTAATAAAATAATACAATAAATATGATTATACAGAGAAACAGTTGGTTTTAACCCACAAAACCCAAATGTATAACACAGTACCCTGGGGCACGAACAGAGTGGTGTTTGCTGGGTCCCCTGAGTCCAAAGTAAAAGGAGAGGGAAAAACCTGTTGGTGAGAGTGCTGTTGCAGCCTGGTCAAGAGTGGTGATTGCAGTCCAGTAGAGAGTGGTGGTCTGCAGTCTGGTTGAGAGCAGTGATCTGCAGTATTCCTCTGGATCCCACGAGTGGTTAAAAAAATCCCAAGACTGCAAGATTATATATTCTTCAGTTCAGGCAGGAATGCCCAGTACCTCCCTCAGGGCAGGGAGTTCCACAATGGATGTGAGAACAGGAGCCTCTCACAGGCCTCTTAACACCCAGTTTATAGCCTGAGGAGTCAGACTCTATGGGCAGATGGTGTAAATAGTCTATTGATAACAGTTTCTGGGAAATGGCATGAAAGGCTATAGAATACACAGTTTTTGGTTACAGTGATGAACTAGCTGTTCTAACTAGGATAATAGTGTAAATTGGCGATATGACAGCATGACATTACAAAGAAGCTGAAAATATCAAATATTGTGACACTGAAGTCTCCATACTGTACCTACACCATTAACACTTTTCCCTGCATAATATTTTCCTCTCCACAAAACTCACCAGTAAAACCTTTTGGTAGCTACTTCATGTCAGTCCAAACATAGACTAACTCTGAGGTTAAAATCTTATAAAAACTAGCTCTGGAGCTGCATTTTTGGTATTTGTATCTTTTGATACTTGCTTCTTTTGACAGAGGCTAGAACAGGAAATGATGAAACTAGGTTTGACTGTGACACAAACTTCCAACATCCCTATTCCTGCAGTAGACAATAACAGTGGTGTTTTTATTCATTACAAGTAGGTAAAAACTTTTTTTTTCATTTTCTCTGAATTATATCAAAGAATTACAAAACAGCAATGAGTGTCATGCAGCTCTGGATATCACCTGGTCCAACCCCCCAGTCAGAGCAGTGTCAGCTAGAACAGGTTGCTCAAGGTCATGTCTAGTCAGGTGTTTAGTATCTCCAAGGATGGAAATACTGTAGACTATCTGGGATATTTGTTCCTATTACAGTTAATCACCCCTATGTTAAAGAACAAAGAAAAAGAAGTCTGACTCAGTCTACTTACTTCCTCCCTTCAGTTGTGTCTATCAATTGATCAGTATGTCAAACAGCTGGAACACTCTGACCCATAATAAATATGGCCATATAATGAATCATTATCAATGCTTCTTCCATGGCACACAAAATTCTCCATTCAGACCTGTCCCAAACCTGCTTACCCACCAAAATTAATAAAATGGAGATGTTACACTTATACAAAACCTGCCCATTGTGTATTGTCACGTTGCAAAGTTACTTTCTGCTTGGCATAGTCTTCATTTACCATGTGACTCACCTGAGGTCAATGGGATTGATTTGCAGCCATAGAGAAGCCTGTAGAAGCTGTACATTGAACAAAAAAGTACTAGATATCAATTGTAAGTGTTTTGACAGTCAGCATTTTAATATTACAAATGAAAATAGTGGATACTGAAAAAAGGAAGACATGGATATTTATGCAGCTATCAGATATTAAAAACATGGAGAAATATTAATGAGGAAATTCTATCTTTATAATCATGTGGATATAAAATTTCAAGCCATACACTGACCTATGAAGAACAACAACAACAACAAAAAAATAAACAGTGCTTTTTAAGTGAGAATCATCATCCATACCTACTAAACTTAGAATAAAGCCACTGGAGGGGACAAGGCATTCAAGTTGCATGTAACAGTACCTGAGGGAGTAAATTGAGACTGCTGAAATTTTGCATTTACCTAAGTTTGTATCAATTTGTTTTCTTTCAGTTATGTTTTGCTAAAATTAAGCAGCTGTCAGAAGAAGTCAGAGAAAAGAAAGAGAAGAAAGAGATCTTTTATAGGGACATTAAATTCAAAATGCCAGTATTAGGCAAAGACACAGGGAAGCCTGGTACTATTGGTTTTTACCTATCTTCAAGTTAATATTGAAATCTTTGACCTATAGAAGTAGTTGCTCTGTATGCCTAGATCTGTCACACTTTGCTATGCAATTAGTGGAAACACACAGAGCTTAAATCTAAAAATATAATCATTCAAAAACTTAGAAATGGACATATTTTTATAGTCTTCTAGTCTCTCAAACTCCTTCATTTTCAGTTTTGACAGGTTCTTATTACAGTTTTACTCTTCACTTTACTGTATTTAAGGATCTGTCAATGTCTCTATTGTAAGCTCCTATTTTAATAGCTTTTAAGTTTAATTACTATCGAAAAAATCAAAGAGGGAAAAGAAGGGCATTTCAGAGCAGAAACAAAGAAAGAGTTCACAGGCAAACTGGATTCAATTTTTTGAAGTGCTTTGGTTAGTTCACGTTGCATTATACTTTTGAATATGAACATGTATTTATGTGTAACATATGTATATATTACATACTTTCTTCATAATCATGGTGGTAGCTTTCCAAAAGAATTTCAATTCCATCTAACTCTGGTATGCAACATTTGTTTAAACTGAAAATTGTGCACTGTGAAGGCAAAAGCAAGTATATATATGCAAAATGGATGGAAAATTACTCTGAAACATATTTTTCAGTTTGTCTACTGGTAATGAAGAAATATCTTTAGACTTAATCCAACTTTAGGAGCAAATTATTAACCAGTTTGAAGGTTTTATGCTGTGCCCCTCAGTTAAATATCCAAAGAAAATGGTCATTCGTAAGTTTAATTTGTTTAAAAAATAATATTTCTCACAATAATTATGGTTTTATATTCAAGTAAATTATTATCTACAAGATCCTACATGACTTCTCTGAACTGAAATGTCACAGTCTTTCTTCCCAGGAATGGTATTCAGGACAATACATTCTATTTTTTCTTCTTAGTACAGTGCTTCATATACTCTGCTGACTCATTTTAGGGAAATAAGACTTGATTCAAACTAGAAGCATATGTTTAGGTAGCAGTGCATTACATTGAAATATATTATTTTAGAAAAACAGTTTCACCACATTTTAACAGTTTTCAATTCAAATTGGATTTATTTGTGTAAAAACAGATACACAGTTCCCTACAATAATCCCCACTGTCATCCAACTTCTTTGGCAGTGCAGTGCAAGTCTTGCATAATTACTCTGTAGTATCCATCAGGTACATGTGGGTGTTTTGAATCTCTTCAGGTACCAACAGACTAGACACAAATACTTGGGGACGTGAGTCCCCCCCTGTATGATCTTGGTTTTTGGTACTTCCATACAATTGCATGTCTTGTTTTTTTCCTCAGATACTGAATTCTAAGTATTCCATATATATATGTATACATATATATATGTCATATAGCCCTATTGAAAAGAAGAAACTGAAGAACTCAACCATTTTAAGGTGTTAATAATGCAAGACATTTGATCTGCTGTCTGTACTTTGAATATCTGCTTACATAACTCAACCAATTACCATTTGATGAAACAGTTTGTGAATTCTGATTTTAACTATGATTCATTCCTCTGCTGTTGTTATAAACAGCTACCTATTTATGCACCATACAGGCAGAATATGACAAGTCATCGGTGGCCTAAATGTTTTTCTTTGCTTAAGGCTCTTCAGACTGAGACTTTCAGTGTAATTTGTCCTTAGAAGAAACTTCATCTAAAAATCTTGGGAAGTTAAACACTTAAATTCATGATAACAGCTGATCCACAGGCTCCCAAGTGGCAATTTAATGATCAAAAAGTAGTGAAGAGAGAAAATGCTGAGGACATTAAGAAAGAGAAACTTCATGACAGAAACTCTAGTCTTCCTGAGAGAGTTCTACAAGTCACTTCTTTTCAATTTTTGCATA